TCTTTTCATTATATTCTGTTTTATTCTGCTCTCCTCCTCCTCTCTTTCTTTACCTCTCTCTCTCCTCTCTCTCTCCTCTCCGCCATACGTTCCTTCTCTCTTCTGTGTGTGTGTGTGTGTGTGTGATTGCGTGTGTGTGTGTTTGTGCGGCCGTAGTATTCAGAAGGTGTGTGCAGCTGATCTGCGCCGCCTCTCTGCTCCCCCCGACTCCTTCTCTGTGTAAGTACCTCAGCCCTCTGTCACCGTTGGTGTTTGTGTACATGTGAGTAAATGACAGGTTTTGTCGGTCCGGTTCGACCAATATTTGATCTGCTAATCGCTTTTATTGAGAGCAGCCGTTGTTGTTGTTGTTGTTGTTGTCTTGATTGATTACATGACATAAAGCAAAGCTTGACGTTGTCCCATCAATCATAATCACGATAAACTATAAAACTGCACCTTTTCAGTCATTATTCATTGAGCTATAATCATGATTTGCATAAGTCACATTAAGCTACATTTTATTGATCCTATTTGCTGTGACATCTGTTGCCCCGCACACTGTATATTTACCCTTGTGACATATCTACAGTTTACTACTTATTTCAAAACATCTTTTATAACTAACAGCAGGAGCATGCATTTTGGTATTTCATTATTTTTGATTGCTTCAATATGTGGCAGGTAAACTTTTGAACCCTTATATTTTATTTTTAGGGCTGAAGAATGCTTTCATAATTAACTTGGCTGTCAGAGATGTTTTTCTGTTCATCGTTCGGGGTACAAAATGTCTAAATAAAGATAGAAACTCACGAAATTGAAAATCCGTTCAATATACAATGATTTAAATCAGAAAAAAAGCAGCAACTTCTCCCATTTTTAAAGCTGAAATGAACACGTTTTTAAAGTTGTTGCTGGATTAATGACTCAACAGATGAGTCATTAATCCAGTTATTAATTGGGGTATATTTCTATCGTTATTCAAGAGCCAGTTTAACAGCATGATTGTTTTATGTTCGTACTCTTGATTGTAAAACGCTCCCTCAAAACTCTGCCATCACGCTCAGATAGATGGTTTGAGAACAGCTTTTATCAGACAAAAAAAAAAAACACCCAATCAATCATTTTTAATCAACCCACTTGTTTAAAATATTACAACCCAGCAAACATTATTTGCAGAATCAATCCAAGACAGCTTATTCCAGTGTTGGCTTTACAAACTCATATTGGTCAAACCCTATGGTGTCGTGTTGACTGTGGGTTTTTGTTGTGTTCGTATGCAATCAGTGGACTCAAAGAGAGAATGAGTGTATGGCAGCATGCTGAAGCTTTTCACTTCTCAATGTGCTTCTGCCTCTTGTCTTGATGTTTTTTTTCCCGCTGTAGTCCTTTTACCTTCAACGTTACCCCCGAGTTTTGCTCTTATTACACCTGCACCAAGCCTTGGTTCTCACTTGATGTCCATGCCCTCCCCCCTGAAAAGCTGTCTGAATAATATGCTTCAGCTTTGCCTGAGAGGATTAAAGTCGTGTTAATGTAATCTTTAATTTGACGCTCTGTCTGTTCTTTTGCAGGGAAGATTTTGATGTTTGAGTTTTTGAGGCTGGGTGGATAGATGATTTGTCAGCAGCAGCGTTGTTTTGCTTATCGCCCACCATGTTTTTGACGTTAATGTTATGCCTTCATCAAACTCCATCCGTGCTGAAGGCAATATTGCCCACAGACAGTGATTTTAAATGGGTTGGCCTGCCTCAGACTCCAACATAGAATGAGGGTAATGTCACATGAGGACAGCTGAGCCCTTTATCTTCTCACATTGTTCTGCTGGAGGAAGGTTTTACAACTTTTTTACAGTCTCCACTTATCAGAAATGTTAAAGCTCAGTTATTAAACTTTCACAGATCTGATTACGTCGCAGAAACGAGACAGGGGAGGAACAGAATGTTGCGAATTATGTTGCAAGAGCTCAGAACTGGTTTGTGATGTGTTTGCCCATGTGTGTTTGTGCGTGCATGTATGCATATGTATGCCCTTATCGTTGTATGCTCGGGCATGTCTGAATTGTGTGTGTGCACGTACATGCACCTGCGTGTATTTCTTTTCAGTCCTCACGCAGTTCCAGATCGCCTGCGCCTTCGAGTGAATCGGATCAGCCTGCAGGAGTACGACCGGCTGCAGTACGACAAAGAACGACTACGAGACATCTGTAAGGCTCCTCGTGTGAAAAGTGGCTTTTGTCTATTTCAAAAAATCGATATTTTTTAGTTTTTAGCGATTTCAAGGTGCGATCAAAAAGTTCTGAGATTTTGCCTATAAAAACAAAAACTGCACCAGATTTAAATTTGACCACCACCGCTGCTCCTGCAACACATTGTGTAAACATTTTAGACACCATCTTTCATTTTGGAGAAGAGAAAGAAATCACAGGCAGCTAAATCTAGCAGGTAGGGCAGGTGAGGAGTCCTGATTTTGTATTTTTGTAACATGTAATCGCCACACTGTGAGCAGGCACACGGCTGCTGACTGGCACAGATTGTGATTTTGCGCTCTGCTAGACTTTGAGGTCTTCGGAGAAATCGAACATTTGAAAGCATGTGATGGTGACGTGCTCCGTGTACGCGCACCTCGAACAGTCTGAGAACTTTTTGATCACACCGTGTATTTTCATTTTAAGCCCACATCCTAACATTTCTGGTTCAGTGTCACCACTCTGATGAACTGTGTTTTCAGCTGCAGCACCATGAATGCACTGTACACTTTGTGTCCAGACAGAAAGAGATAAAGAAAATTAGCAGCTGTCTGGTAAACATTGTGACGCATTTATCTGCTAAAAAGCCACATCATTTGCATTTTTGTGACATTTATCATGTGACCAAAAACAAGAGTCCAGTAAATAGGTCCAGTGAGAAGTTGTTACTATATGATGTGATCATATGTCAGTACTGTGCTCAAATCTTGATTCTGCTGCTGCAAAGTAACCAAGATAATGAGGTTTTTAAACCATTCTGACCTGAAGTGTGTGTTTGTGTGTTTTCCAGCCATCCCAGTCGGCATCGTGGTGGTGAGAGGCGACTGTGACCTGGAGACATGCAGACTCTATATCGACAGATTACAAGAGGCAAGTCTTTATCTTCATCGTCGTCTTTATGCTCATCATCGTTTAAATGTTCCTGCTTGCTCTCCGCCTCTTCTGTTTCTTGGCTTTCATCATTATTTAATGATCCACGCGGCGTCACCTCTCCGCTCAGTTATTTTTAGAAGGACAAGCGGCCGACAGCCCTGAGCTGCTCTGTAGCTGTGTGTCTCCTGTGGGAAACGTTCACTAACTGAGTTTAACATCTGTGCAAGTTTTTTTGATGTAAATGCTTTGGCTGTTTGTTAACCTTGAAACCTGTCTGCTGTGCTTGCTAGGATTTACACCAGGCGCCATCTACTGGCCACAGAGTGCACTATCAGGTACACAGTGTGACCTCTGGGTGTCACTCTGCAAGGGTAGAAGAAACACTGGAACATTTGGACAATTATGTAATAGTTTAGATATTTTTAGGCGTGTGGGCAGTTCCTTGAAGAACAGTTAGAGTTATGTGGAGAGTTTAAGTGTATTTTCAGTGAAGTTTGGAACATGTTACACACTTTAAAATGCAGAATTCAACTCAAAGGACAATGAACTAACTCTAGTCTTTACAGACTGACACCCATATGGAGGAGAATCCTGTCTTACCACACTAGAATAACTCCCCTGTACATCTGAAACCTAAAATGTAAACAGTATATAAATATACGCTGTGTCACTGTCCTAAATGTCTCCGTCATGTTATTTACTGTGCAGCTTCTCAGAAAGAAATACTAAAAAACTACTTGGATCTTTCTTACTTCCTCTGTCTTATGGCTTATTTTTACTCTTGTATTTCCCCGTGTAAGCCGGTTTTTATGTTTTGTTGATTGTTCAGTGGTAACGACGATAAGGATCACAGTCTGTCTCTTTGTCTCCAGGATGAGAGCAGAGGCGTCCCCAGGACCAGTTCAACCAGTAGACTGTCTCCCAACTGGAGCTTCTTGGATTGTGAGTCATCGAAACACCATAAATGCATTAAAACAATGACTTTATAGAGATTATACACCAAAAATAGTACGAGCTTTGAATCATAAATCTCCAAGAAAAGGATCAAAGGGGTTCCTGGTACTTTTGCGCTCAGATTTCCCTCTAATGTTTTTAGATCCTTTATATTTCTTATAGCCTGTGATGTCCATGAATATACATCCATCTGCCACACCTCACCTCACTTAATTGCCCAATAAACTAATATCTTTTTTTGTAAATCACTTTTCTTCTTTTCTTAACATGCCTGCACAGTAAAATAACACAATAAAAAGTAAAACCTGATAAAATAATAAATAAAATCAGATAATATTGTCCAGGTGATCATGTTAGTTGATTAAAGCTGTTTGATGAAGTGTGTTTTACACACCTTTGCATACGTTTTATCTATTTCATGTGCATGTTTCTTCTCTACAGCCACGTCAGCTGACCGCTTCTATCGCATAGACAAGGCTCAGGTATGCAATTTAGCTTCTTTCGTACATATTTTGATGCCTGAAATGTAATAATGATAATAATTCAGGGATCACTGAAGTCATAGGTTTGCATCCAGTTTCTCATTCTCATTGTGTCTTTGTGTTTGAAGGAGCACCTCCACTTTGTGACAGAAATCTGTCAGGACGAGGTGTTCATCCTGGACCACGAGAGTCCTGTGGTGAACCAGGGGTCGTCCACGGGGATGCCTGATCTGGTGGTGGAACCCACTGCAGGGTAAGAACAGACTCAAACCTTTTTTTCTTAAACCTAAATTTAACCAGGCAAGTCCTACACAGGTCAGAAACCTATTTTACAGGGTAGACCTTGCCAGGGTCTTTATACTTGTAAGTAATTACAACAACTCATTTAATGTTGTCATTGCAGATTAAATTCATGTGGAGCTGCAAAATGTGAATTCTGACAGAGAAAATATTGTGTTCTAAGCCATAATTTTTGTCTCCATGTAGATAAAAATACATTAAGAATTATTTCTCTGTTAATCAAAGAAATGAAAGAGCAACAAATGCTCAAATCTGACAATCTGGAACCAGGATAATAACTTGTTTGATTATCAAAATAACTGAAGATTATCAACTAAAGGAATCACTGCAGCTTAACTGTTATAAAACTGATTCAGTTAAAGGAGGAACTTTTACCTTAACTGTCTGCTTTGGTAGAGTAAACAATCAAAAAAGACAAAAGATTGAAAAATAATCATTGCAGTGAAACAACTATTTCTTATCACATATTCATTTTCGCTTTAATTTGCATTTGCAGTGCTCCCCTGACACCTGAGGAACAAGGTATGACACACACACATTGAATATGTGTTAAGAACTTGGTTACAGCTATAGTTTTGGGTGTTACAGCTTTAGAAACTAAAAAAATTAAGGTTTCAGACTTCTTAAAAAAGTGTTATTTAAACATGTAATTTTGAATAAGTTGCACTTTTACTTTACATCATGTGCTGTTTGTAAGTGACCCAGTCAAAGCACGTCCCTAAACACAGAAGTCAGCACTCCCAGCTTTACGTTGCGTATTTGTCTTCCAGCTAATTAAAATCCTAACATTCCTTGAAGGCGTTGCAGATGTTGGCAGTTTTGGGGCTTTTCACACAAGTTTCAGTCACTGTCATATTCAGGCTTGTGAACTTCAGAACAATAATGTCAGTTAGTCCAACGTTTCTCTAGAAAAACAGGATCAGCTGCTGGGTGTTCCCTCTGGCTACTTGTTTGTAATAAGTCGTTGGAATCACTGGGACTCTCCACTGCACCAAACCCGTTGTTCCTCAATCTCTTGTTTGTTTACTTTCAGTTTTATTTGCATCTCAATCTCCAGAAACCCGTCATCAGCCATATTCTTGGCATATCAGCTGCCAAGCACATGGCTGTTAGATCATCTGCAATGAAGTACATGTGAAAATTCTATGAAGCACCTGCATTTACTCTGAAATCCTGCTCCATAAAAGCTTCTAACACACACACAGTGCAGGTATTTTAACTACTCTGAGGTCATTGTTGCCATTAAGTATTTTTAGATGCGCCTTTGAGAGCAGCTTGATGGCTCGAGACAAGAGAAATATTCTGCTGCAAAGAGAAAACTGTAGCCTTCACCTGCCTGGAAAAAACACAGACAGACTGTGGATTTGTAGGAAACACAGTGCAAGAGAGCAAAATCCCTGCAGAAACTCTCAGAGGAAGCTGTTTTCATCTTGAATACAACGGGTCACTTTGAATACCTGTATTGTTTGGCTCAGCCTGAGGTGCAAACAACACACTTAATATCCTGTTTATGTGGAGTTGGAGTAAAAAAAAATAAAATAAAAAATCCCTGAACTTTATCCACAGTTAGTCATCACAAGCAGCACTTCAGCACTGAGGCGGATATCTCCAGAGAATAGCATGATTCTACAGGCAGCGTAAAGAGGCAACACTGGAAAAGTCCAAAGACATCTGTTCATGAAAGCTTTGTTCTGTGGCGTCATCTCACATGATGATTACTGTGTACTTGTGTGTTTACAGCTCTACTGACTGCAGCCAGTTCCGGGGATCTTCCCATGGTACACTACATTCACACACACACATGGATGACTGTCAGGGAATAAAAACTGGTTTCACCTGCTTGTGTTTGTCATGGTAGCGTCATATCATCTTAACAAAATGTGGAAAATCTTCCTCCTGCTAATAAAAATACGCAAAAAGGACGCAGCGCAAAGCCAGCCAGTGAAATCAGTCAGTGTTCTACGGGTTGTACCAGAAAAGTTCAGCAGGATTTTGTCACCTTTGACACGTTTTTATAACTGTTAATACACACATATATTTTTACTTGTGTTTCCCAAAGCGACACATAAGAGCAGCTTTCTGTCATAATGAACTTGTATAGCACATAAATGCTAACAACAACAACACAAGAACATGTTTTATACCTGCAGTGATTTGGTGTAAAGGTTAATGTGGAGTCTGCAGACCTTTAAACTGGCTGCTTTTTTCTGTAACTGCTGTTCCAGAAAGACATCTCTCATCACTCATCATGAATAAAAATGATTAGCCAATTCCATTTATGATGCTCTCTTTACTTCTTGTAAAGTCTCTGTTGGTGTCCCGGTTTAGCACTTTGAAGCTACAAATAAGAGCCTCCTCTGCATTTTCTCTGTATTTTTTAGTGTAAAAATGTTTTTTTTTTTTCTGTCATCCTCTCCAGCTGTCAGAGTGTGTGGGTCAAGGAGTCAGCTTGTTGGTCAGAGACTCTGGAGGCTGTTCAGCGTTACATATAGCTGCCCAGAACGGACACACGGACCTGGTCAGCTACATACTGCAGCAAGGTGGGAATGGTTTATAGTGCTGGACGTGTCACAGTAAACAAACAGCTCCAACAACCTCCTGAATGTGTTTATCTTTTCTCTACAAAACACCACACAACAGGAAGAAAGATAGAAAGTCACCTACAACATGCAAACAGTTCTCATCCTAAACCTGTGTGCACTTTAACACTGCAGCAAAACGGCTGTTGTGTGTTTTATAGTGCAGTCAAACAGTTTTTAAGTAAAGTCCTCTAACTTCTTGCTCCCTTACTCAGTGTAATATTAAAACTGACCCCAAACTAACAACTGTCCTGTTGTGAAGACACGTTATTGACAAACCAGCTTGGTCAGCGTTGCCTTCAATGACAGAGTTTCGGTTTCAGTTGGGGGGTTGTTACTCCTCCCCCTCATTATGTTAGTCGTTAGTGCTCCCTCTGCCACAGTGGGGTTTGTTAGGGTCTTTTGGTGAGAGATGTTGCCTCAGACCTCCACCTCTGTTGAGGGATGGTCTTTCCAGTTTGACATAGATGGCTTCTTTCACTCCTCTCTCAAACCATCTGTGCTCTCTGGCCAACATCTGTATGTTGTCTTTGAATGAGTGTCCTTTGTCCTCAGGATGCTGGTGGACTGCTGAGTCCTTGTTAGACTACATTTCTCAAAGGCAGCTTTTCAGTAATGAAGCTCTTTTACTGATTTTATGTCAAAGTTTTTTCACTGTCTTTAGGGAGCAAACAAATCAAATTTCTTGTAAAATAAATAAACAACTTCTGGTGTAGCTTGTGAAGTTTTATTTAATGTAGAGTAACTGCTAGCTTCTCTCACTGCACTTCCCTCGCAGCTTCACCAGCTCTGCCCATTGACTATGTGTTTAGGAACAGCAGTTATAAATGTTCACTTTGACCTTGACATAGTTGTCACCTGTTGCATTGTTACCCACTGTGGGCTCATTTTTCACTGCAACATGAAGTCCTGTTCCTCTGTGGAAACAGCACAGCCACGGCTATTAAAACTTTATTATGTTAACAAACCTGGAAACAAAAAATGATGTTCCACATGCCATGGATGTTTTACTACTTATATTTTTCATTAGTCTCCATGATTATTTCCTCTCTGCTCTGTGTAAACACATCTGCAGTTTAGCCGAAATGACTAATGACTGATGAGCTGAGTCACTAACGGCTTCTCAGTCATGCTGAGGAGTGGAGGAATTTTTTGTTTTTCATAATCTGGTTAGAGCAAACCCTTTATTTTTTTTTTCTTTTTTAAAAAACTCTTTTTTGGGGGAGGTTATTTTTGTTAAATTTTTTTATTTTTGTTAATTTTTGGTTTTGTTTTTGGATTGTTGTTCCCCGGTTGGTTGTTTCATTGCCCCCGGGAAATTTAAAATTCGGCTGTTTTTTTTGTTTTTGTTTTTCAGGCTCTGATATATGATGTAGTTTTGACTTCTTTTTTTTTTTTTAGTATAACATGCCTGAGCTGCCAGTGGGCTTTATGGGTGAGAGGGTAACCAACAGTGATGGATTACATCACTTTGTTCTTTCACTGTCAATGTGTCATGTGGTTGCTTGAATCCATCATGAGATTGGTGAACTTCATCACCACCAATGAATACGACAACATAGCGAGGTCATCATAGACTATGAATACATGAAATGTCTGGTAGAAACCTAACCAAGAAAACCCTGTGAAGTTTTAAGAAGTGAGCTCACCAGACCTCTGTGACCTGCTCCTCATCTCGCCTACATGCTGAAGGCTTAACTCCACATCATCCACCACTTAGCATCACACCCCCGAATCTCTGACACAAGCGTCACAAGTTGCATTGTGGGCAATGTGGAAATGTAGGCACCAAGTTTGACTGAAGAAGAATGTGTGGAATACAAAAGATAATTCTGCTGATCCTTTTTTTTAAACAGTCCGTCGTGACTTTTACATTTGTAAAAGAGGAAATGTGTGTTTTCTGTGTCAGTGATGCTCATGTGTCTTGTGTTTCTCCCTCCTCAGGCTCTAAGGTTCTTCTGGATTTGACAGACAAAGAGAAGTATGTTGTCTAATTAAAAAATATGTCTAAAATTTTAATTTATATGTGTATATGTTAACATAAATTATTGTTTAAAATCACCTTTCATTCCCTGATTTGGTGAGAAGCTGCATGCTGACGACACAAATCCTCTTCATCTACCGTGTGGCCTTCTTTTGATACCAGCTTCCTTTCTGTTTTACGTCAGTGCGGTTCGCATACCGGCTGTCGTGACATTTTGCACGTCTATTTTGATCGGTTGAACATCTGTGTGTGTGTTTGCAGAGGGGACACTGCCCTGCACAAAGCAGCCTCAGAGAAGCAGCACGCAGTGTGTCGGTTGCTGGTGGAGGCCGGAGCGTCGCTAGAAAAGACCAACTTCCAGGTAGACTCACGCTCTGCTGTACAAACATTCTCACCAACCCGTAGGTTTCCCGTAAGTCCAGCTGAGTCATATCAGGCAGCAGAGTGGTATGTTAATGATTTACAGGGAGATGGATTTACTGGCTTCCAGGGTGTGTCTCCTCGGTGTTCCTTTCATATTGAAGCATTCACTTTATATTCAAATTGTCTGCAGGACTGGTTTACGCTGCATGTAGCAGACGTCACTGCTGCAATAACAGAACGTGGAAACTAAAAGCAGAGAGTGCACAAAACCATGAACACAGCCGACATAGTTTTAGGTATATTTTTTTGGCATTTCTGCCTCTTATTTGTTGTAGTCTGTGGAGAGCGATAAGAAAAGTACAGAGGCAGAGAGAGGGATGATGTGAAATATCCTCGAGGTAAAAACAATGAGGATTTTTGCCATATCAATAAAATTGATTTCACTTGGAATTAAATACAACAACTTAGAAAGCTGCACTTAAATTACATGTGTGTAGTAAATCGAGGATACCACAGAAACCAGAGAGTGTCAGCCATCCATGTGAGCAGATTTAATTAAATTGTATTTTTTTTTTAAATAAATAAATCAGTGACATTTCTCATACACACTGAATTTGAAGTGTTGCTGCTGCATTTACATTTTTGTCATGCTGGAGATCAGGGAGCTGTCTGAATGGACACTTTGCTGCTACTGTTTGTTAGTCTGATCTTGAAGGGCCACAGAAACTCATCATATCATCCAGCATGCTGCACTCCTGCTTACCAGGTGTTCCAGGACTGGTCTCACAACAGATAGATTTCAAACCCAAACTACAAACTACCAGTTTTCCCCTTCAGATGATCAACCAGCACATCTACTAAGAGATCCTGCAGCGTTTACTTCGTCCAGGAAGAGGTGAGAGTTGTGTCAGGACAAGTCGTGGCTGCTTCATCATGACAACGTGCCTGCTCACAACGCCCTGAGCATCCCACAGTTCCCGGCTGAGAAGAACATCTCCGTGCTGGAGCAACCTCCCTGCTCACCCCACCTGGCTCTGTGGGATTGTTTCCTCTTCCCCAATCTCAAGGGGGTCATCAAGGAGACCTGTTTTGAAGACGTGGACGACATCAAGATGGCTGTGACGACAGAGCTGAGGAGGATCCCTGAAGAATCCTTCCAGGAGTGCATGGCGGCGTGAAAGAGAAGGCTGGGACAGTGTGCTAGACTCCAGGAGGATTACTTTGAAGGGGAAAACTTGTAGTTTGTCGTTTGGATGTGAGATATATCTTTTGTGACACCAGTCCTGAAAGTTTTCTGACACACCTCGAACACATAGTCATACATCACCATCGATTGGTGCGGTGTGTCATTACTCTTTCACAATCGAAAGCTCACTGGTTGTGTAGCCTGCAGTTTACCTGAATCATTGTGTCAATGTTTTTATTTTCACCCTTTTAAAGTTGTAACGACTATTTACTTCACATCTACCTCTTACTCTGTGTAACACTACGCCCTACATACAGGTAGTGCTTCTTCTTGGAGCTTAAATCACATTTCACAAGTCCAGTTGGTGCAACAAGCCCCTTGAACCTGAAAATATCCCAGAAATATACTCAGAGTAACAACATGTTCACTCATAATTGTGCAGCTTTACACGAAGAACATTCCCTCCACGGATACAAAACACCACAAAGAACTGAAAAGCTGACGTATTTTAGCCTAAAACTTCTGAGCTGCTGAATATTTAAACTGCTTTTTTAATTTTAATACTGCAGAACTGTGTGCTGTGCGGCTGTAGCGGGTAAAGCCTGAGAGACTGAATCAGTGAAACAAGTTTTCAAAACTCCACCAACACTGGTATTGATTTAACTTGTGGAATTCATGGAGGATGACCCCGAAGAAGGCGAAAGCCAGAACATGTTGAAGAAGTTTTTAAACTTCATGCTTGTGTTGTTGCTGGAGCTTTAAACTTTTTTGTGCAGCCACAATAATATGTTTAAAAAATGATATGAGATTCAACTGTGTATCTGTAGATGGGATGAAGAGCAAATAAATGTGATCATCTCTATCTGATGTAAGTTTAACAGGACTCGTCCCCCTCAGTATTTAGAACACATGCATTTGTAACCTCGAGTAAAAGCATGAAAGAAGCAGAAGAAACCTTTTGATCTCCTTCTATGACGTTACTAATGCACACAGCAAGGCCTCAGATGGGAGCAGCTGTTTGTTTACTCTTAAAATATGAATTATGAGCTCACACAGCCACTGAATGCATCATACTTTAATTAGTTCCGTATGTATATATTCCATTACCTTTTGCATTGTCACCTGGTGCCGATTTTAGAGACATTTGTACAACAAGTGCAGAAAAGGAACAAATTGCTGTATTAAAATTCACCAGAATCAGGAAACAAAGTGTTTTATCTACAAAATGCCCTGAGAGAGCACCCTAACCCTAACCTGCTTCATCTGTCTGTCCCAAATCAAAAGTATTCCCGTCGATACACCTCTAGAATCTCATACAGCAACCTTACAAATAATCCTGTCTCTGAGAAGCTTCTTCTGTTCCATTTTTGTTTTGACTTGCTGCCGCTTTAGATCAGTATGTGTTTGTAATATTGTGCTCACCTGTATTTACTTCAGCACACAAACACAATACGATTTACATTTAAAACAATTTAGCTGATTAATCAGTTACTTGACAGGCAGGAAAAAGTTAAAGAGATCTTTTTTCACATGAATCAGTGACTGAACCTAAAACCAGAAATTCAAGATGTGAGAAAACTTACCGTCTGACCTGAACATCCTACATATACTGACAGCAGTAAGGTCACGCTTGTTGGCCCAATAGAAGCTCTTATGTGTGACTACTGAATACACCAGATCTCCTGCATACCGTAGCTAATAAAGCCACAGTCGCCACATTAATGTGTTGAAAACAACCACGACTGTCCTTTGACGTGCGTCTGTGTCCACCAGGGGAAAACACCGGCAGAACAAGCAGCGGGAGACTCGGAGCTCGCCACCTACTTGAGCTCCCAGCAGAGCTCATCTGGCACCCATGAAGACCTGGAGACGGCTGTCTGAGGCGCAACACACTCACACACTCTGTGTCTCTGGACTCCAACACACTCGTCGTCGAGACTGACCGGGAGAGGAGAGTGTTTCAGAAACGACCAGAGTCTGGGTCCGACTGTGCGGACGGAGAGAGAGACAGATCAGACGAGTGATGAACTGCTTCAGCGCGCAGCAGCACTGCAGTGAAGATTTTAATGGTCAACTATTTATTTGTATTTATTTATTCATATTCTATTTATTGGTTGTGCTGATTGATTGACTGATTGTAGGACTATTAACGGTTCAGGATGCAAGTGCAATTTGACCAGCCGTCACACGTCGTGAGTTCACCTGAGTTCAGCTGTGGAGCTCATGGAAACATGTTTCTTATCTTGTAAGGGATTCATATTTTACTCAGTAAGACTTCTACAGTGTTGATTAAGCATTGAACAGCCGTTACAAAGGACAGTCTAAATAGCAAAGTCTCATTTCAGAGCTGTAAGAAATAGTATACGTTTATGTTTATCCCTTAAAACCTGCGTGCCAAAGACATTGCACTGATGTAGTGTCATATTTAGTCCAAAACTTCAGTAATGACCCAACACGTTGCTCCACATCCTCATGGATCTCCAAAACTTTTGAAGCTGTGTCTTTAATACCAAATTATGCAATGATGACAAGTCCGTCACATGCTGCTTCACTCCCTGAGTCACCACGAGCCACAGTTACAGAAAAGCTCATAGACACACCAAGTACAGGAACTGGTTGAACATATCGCCTGCTGAAGCTCTCCCAAATAACCACACACTTTTTTTTTTTTTTTTTTAAAGGAACTACTTATTTTTCCAACCTGCAAAAAGTCCCTGCTCTGGGAACTTTATATCCATCATTATGTTCCTCTCCAGGAACTCGGGGCAGGTGTGAGGTGGTGCGAACATTAACAGGATCGGTCTTGTTATCAGCCTTTCTGTTTCCATGACAGCGTAGAATCCAGCAGATTCAACAGCAACAGTAAAAGTTAGTTGGTTGAAATTTGGCCTACAAAACCAAACATAATAAAATCACTGAGTTTCAGCTGCTTAGTTTGATTTGTACAAGCATTTTGAAATGTGACATTAGCTCAACTAACTTAAACAAACTGCATTAGACATAAATAAAAGTAATCAAAACAATCTTTAACTGAATTTTAACATTTTAAAATGAAGCTTTTTTTTCTCGATAGCAGACTGCAGACATTGAACTCCGTTATTCACCTTTCTTAAAATGTACAATATAATGCCAAACATTATGCAAGTTTCCCCCCTCAGAAATTTAATTTAGTAATAGTAACAAGTCTATACCAAATATTACAAAAACAAGCTGACTTTTAGTTACATTTTCAAAATATAAACTTCTTGTTAACTTGCTCTAGAGATTCAAATCTGAGTTTTTTACTGACACCTGACCATTATTGTATGGTACAGAGTGCAAACAATATACAAGAATGACAAAGCTACATTTAATTTAGGCTTTTTTGTGTGTAATCACAAAATTAAACAGAAAGTTTAAATAGTACTTTATTACCTTTACACCAAACTGGACAGTAGAGAGAAGACATAACGTTGAATTATTGTATTAGAGCTGAAAAGATGAATCCATTCTTCGATAGAAAATCTTTTTTAAGGGGGGTAAAAATGCCTAAAAATGTTGATTTCAGTGTCTCGGTTGTAAAGATTTGCTTGTTTTCTTTGTCGTCTTTGTCAGTAAATTTGATATTTTTTATCTTTTTCGGTCGGACAAAAAGAGATCAAGAGACCCTAAGAGGCAGTCGTGGCAGTTTTCTGACCTTTTAATGACACATTATTCATCTAGAATAGAAAATAACGAGCAGATAGAAACGTCAGTCCCATTTTCAGAGCAACGGAAGACCACAACACTTTTTTTTACAAGACTTCACTGTTTTCAAACTTGTCTAAAATGTTGCCATCGATGTAGTTTTTTTTTTGTCACAAATGAGCAAAACGGGACCGAAACCGTCGCCGCTGAGTGGACCAGATGTCACTGGTGAGAGGGGACCAGTATGGAGGGAACAAAGCAACACAATACAGGAGGTGTTTAATCCAGTGCAGCCAGTTGGTTTTTTGGATGATAGACCAGAGTCCATTTAAAAAACTTGAGATTTAATGCATCATCAGTAAACCTGCTACTTTCAGACAAACTGTCATCAACAAGTATTTGAACTTTTCATGGTGAGTTTGTCTGGTACTCCTGACCCAGCTTTCACATGCTGTTTGTGTGTGTGTGTGATAATATGACTCATTCCATATCAAATCTGAATAGAAACATCAGTACAACTGCAGCACAGCGGCTGAACTCTGCTCTCTGTGCAGCATCACTAAAGCCTCTGTGTGTGTGTGTGTGTGTGTGTGTGTGTGTGTGTTTGCAGCATTTATCCAAGAAGAGAAAAGAAAAATCTGAGCCATATTCAATGCAATATGAATAGATGACGTCTTTTTTGCATTTCTCTATTAATCGTTTACATTACATTAATGTTTGAACATAGTCGACCATTTAGCACCGAGGAGTATTGAATGTGCAATTTTACTTCAGTGCTGGTTGGGTATATGATTGTCTTGTTATTTTTGTTGTTTTTTTTTTCTTTTGCGTGCATGTATGTCAGTGGTTTGAAACAACCCTGTGAGGTCTCTTTTGATATAACCTGTTGTAAACAAAATTCGTATTTTCAGTAGGAAATGCTTTCCCGAGTATTTGTGGGGACATTTTGAACATTTCGCGTGTGGCCATCGTAGAAGTCGCAGAAAAACGCAGCATCACAGTGTTAATCAAAGACTTCTTCAGGAGTCATTTCTTCTTTTGATGTCAAAATGTTGTGATTTTCATCGTTTAATCCTTTACTGGTAAGTTTTATTCAAAAACAGAGCTGTCGTTTGCATTGAAAAAAGCACGTACAGCATCTTTTAGAGTCAATTATATACATAACAGTTAGAATTATATGTTATGAAATCAAAATAAACTTCATTCAAGGTTTAATCTATGTGACTGAAAACTCATATTTAATCAAATTAATGTTTTAAACTTTCCCCATTTAATTTATACTTTAACAAGTAGTTTCTGTGCTGAACTTTAATACTTCAGGAGACATTCAAAACTTGACTGTGATTGCAAACTGCCTTATTTAACAAAGCAGATGCTCCTCATAGACTGTTGATAAAGATGCACGTGACACATGATGACGTCACCCGCTGGTTCAAATGTGGGCAGCAAGGAAGTGAAACTTGGAACCAGATTTCAGCTGATAGTTAACAGTCTAGTCAACTGCTGACTGTACATAAACGAGGTGATAACACGCCATAGCCAGCGTGTTATCACATGTTGGTTACTGAGCGAGTGTTTTGAAACTTCTAGTTTAGAATTTTCCTGTCACCACCTTTGTCTTTTGAAAGCGAATGTGACGAGTCAGGAGTGGATCTGAGAACTCGAGGACACTATGCACAGTGACACGACCTGTCAAATGAAGAAAGCCCAACGCTACAGCAAAACCAACTGTATTCTGTATTGTCTGTTTTTTAAACAATTAATGAGACCACAGTTCACAAAATTAACATCATGCCGTCTACAAAAAGTCTTCAATCTAGCAATTTAGATCATAAACTCATGAAGAAAATGTTTACTGAGGTCACAAAACAAGTGAGAAAAAGGCTCATTTTGTCACAGACTTCTATACAATCAAACTAATTTTTACAACCAGAGGAGTCGCCCCCTACTGGCTGTTAGAAGAAATGCAGTTTTAAGGCACTTCTGACTTGGCAAACAAATCAAATCTGATTAACTGATTTAAAAAAAAAAAAAGAAATCTATTACAAGGTTTGGTGACTCAAAAAATAACATCACTTGAAGGTTTGTTGATACGATTAACAGAAAAACAAGCATGAGTTAGGATGGAGCGAAAACTTAACTATCGAACAGCAAAACCGTAGAAATGCCGACAACAAAATAATTGAATCAAAACAATGTGCATGCAACTTTTGTTTGCTGTTGAATTTCCTTCGAGGACAACTCCCAGACATACCCCTCTGTGAAGCCTAATATTTGCTTCATGATTGACTTGTTTTCAAAATGGAGTGAACTTAGGTCTTGACGAAGTTACTGCCACCAAGAGTCATGGATATTTTCATTAAAATGGACTAATGTTGACAAAATTGTAATTTGAAGACACTGTGTGTTTCTACAACTCTCCATAAGTCGTTCTCCTCAGTTTGTGCAAACATTTGAACATGTTTGGTGGTTTCAACAGAAGCTGCAGTCTGAGGAAGGAACCCTGAGTTGCATTATGGGAAATGTAGGCTGTAGTATTTTTGGAGCTTCATCAGTATATATTGAATGTTGTTTTTTAAAACCCTGCTCTATTCTTTTTTCTGCATACAGGTGTGTTGTTATATTATTGCCAGTTAGCACAGGCAACAAGCTGTAGCTGCAGGAGAATCAGTATTACTGCTAAAGTTGTAGTTTACTATTCATTACAGTAATCATTCTGACTCAAATTCACAGTTCTTAAAAATCATTTCCTCTCCCCATGATATAAAGTAAGATAACATGTGTTTGTTCAAGTGTTAAATTCAGGGACTGAGGTAATGATGGTCTTGAACCAAACATTTTAATCCTAAACAGTCTCTGCCTACAGCTTTTTGTTAAAACATATGAGAAATTGTAATGTTATCATGAATAAATAGACATTTTAAGAGTTTAAAACGGCTTTTTACCAGTAAAGTGTTTGTATTTTATGCTGCAAGACTTCTGCGATGGCTACCACTGTCAACCATCCAACACGGAGACCTTCCTCTGGGGATTATAAAAAAGACAAACTGTGTATAAATGAAATCCTTGAACTGAACTGTCTGTGAATGGTGACGACATTTTGTATGAAGTGCTAATAAGCTAGGCCCGTTCTGAACGACATACACTCGCTTCTTATCACTCTTTCTATTGAGTAGAAACATGACTTTGTATTAAAGTGTCTCTCATCAGCGTTGGTTATGCATGGCATTTTCTTACCTCCTTGGGATTATTTTCTGGTAATGGCATAAAAACATGGCATTATTGTTGTTTAAACTATTAAATTATTATAGTTTTAAATGATTTATACACGAGTTTCTTCGAAGGTTGGGCATGTTTTTGGGTGTTTATTTGTTTTCTTTTGCTTTTGTATTTCTTTTCTTTTTCTGCTATTGATGATGGGATTACTTGAAGTTTGTTGTTTTATTTTATTAATTTGTTAAAAGAAGATGTGACGCTGTAGTTTTTGTGTCTGACCTTATTTCTTATTTCAGTGACTGCTGCTACTTACTGCCATTACTAAGCTGTGTTTCCTCGTTGATCTAGGCGGGAAAGTAGCTGCCACTTTAAAGAAGCCGACATCATTTAAATTTAAACATTTAGAAGCAAAGGAGCTCAGAAGATGCCTTAGAGTTTATAATTACGTTTTTATTCTTATTTTGATTAGAAGAAACATTGGCAGAATGACCCCAAGCCACAAATGTATTAGAGTTAGTTTAGTATAATTAAAGTGCATAAATGTAGTACAGAGTCAGTAATTCATCAGATAAAGGACTATATATGAACATTATCTCAAATATACCAACAGCCATGCTAACAGCTCTGTGAGACTGTATTTACATACTGCACTGGTTGGAGCTAAATGTTAGCAATATCATGCTAACCTTATGTTGATGTTAAGGAACTATGTTAGCCACATTTCCTTAACTTGCTGATATTTAGCAGATATAATGCTTACCAATGCTAACATGTTAATGTTAAGCAGACATGTTAGCCAACTTTCCTCAGCATGCTAACATGCTATTGTGTAGCAAATATGTTTGCCTTCTTTAGTTAGCATGCTAACATTCACAAAAATAATGTTCACATATTGATTTTTAGCAGATATGTTTACCAGTTTGCTCGTTATGCTAACATGCTCAAGATGACAATGCTAACATTTGCTGTTTAGCAGACCTAATGTTTGCCATATTTATCGTGTTAGCTTGGCATGTTAACATGCTGCCATTTGCTAATTAGCTCTGATTAAAGACTCCAACTGGATCAAAGTACAAGAGAGAATTTGGTTCAGAAAATGGTACAAAAAGAAAACTGGCACCAAAAAGTAGAAGCAAATACAATTATTTATTTGCAATTTTCATGGCAATCATTCTAATAGACATCAATTCTTTCACACAGCACTCTAAATATCAGCTTCATGGTGACACTGGGGTGAAGGTCAGCGGGTCACAGAATAGGACGGATACATCCTCTGACGGTCATGAATGTCTGCTCTGATTTACATCTAATAGTTGTTGAGATGTTTCAGTCTGAGAGGTGGACTGATAGACATACACTACGCTGTTAGCATGGCTAAAGTATAGTATACACACGTGAAAGACACCATTTAAATACAAGCATTAAAACATATCAGAACATGTCCAGTCATTTACATGATATTTTTATTGGAGGCATTGCCAGGAAGTTGTACCAACAATATACAGACATCTTTGTACACATGATAATCCTCAGCGCTCTGTGTTCAAGTATTTCCCAGTAACTGTGCTGGAGCACCAGACGGGTGGAGTTAAGTCCATCGTCTGGGCAGTTTTCACTGCAAGAGAAGCTCATAGAGACAGTCTTAGTACTTTCTGGCACCTTCATGGGTTTGAAGATTATATTCACCCAAGTGAGTCTTTCTAAAGCACTGTGTAAACATTTCACAGACAGCGGGTGACATGAAGAAATACACCAATAAATATGTAATGCTGATAGATTAAACTTGTCTTTTAAGTCAGTGTAGTAAAAATGTAAAGCAAAGGACACACTTAAAACATGGTTTTAATGTCTTTAAAGAGTTAAAACTGATGTTTACTTTTAAGGTGACTGATACTAGGTTTGGAAAGATGCCTTACGTGTGCACGTGTGTGCATAAGTACTTGTAAGCCACTGGGTTTCTTATCGGATAACTTTTAGTAATCAGAGTATTCATGTCTGTAAATGATTACCGGCCATTATTGCAGAGTGTGTAGAGCTATATTTCTGTGTGTGTGTTTGTTCTAATAACATGCAGCTGTTTCTTAGTAACTGAATAAGCAGCGATTTGCTACTCACAAGCCTTTACTGAGGAGTTTACTGCCAGTAGAATCAGTTTTTTATTCCTCCATACCTACCTACGAAAATATTTGCTGTGATGTGTGAGTCAGATTGTTCACACTCAGCCTGAATATACGACGTCAGAATATTAACAAGAACAAACTTGCATTTGCTGCCGTAGTGAAACATGTTCCTGCTGGTCAGTCGCACTTAACTTAAGAGAACAAAAACTTTGACCTATATTACTGTGTAAAGGAGAAAAATAAGCTGTGACGCAACACTGAGACATTTCTCAGATGGCTGGAAAGTCAAACAGTCGCTGAGTCACACTTGGGAGTTTCCTAAACAGCACAGGCGCCACTGAGTCGCTGTTTCTGCAGTTTTAATGTATATGGTTCTCAACAGAGAACATTTTATTCATTTAAGTCATTTAATTCTTCTCTTGCATAAGTTGAGATTAAAACGTTCATTGTTAAACTTTACAAAGCTTCTGATTTGCTCTGACCTAAACCTTGTGGTGGGATGTTTTGTTCAACACTAAGAGGGAACTTTCAAATTACATGTAGTTTTAGGGGTTTGTCAGTCAAACACAGCTGGAAGTTCCAAACTTCTGTGGTGTAGAAAATCTGACATCGCTGTAAATAACAAGTCAGCCCAGTTGTTTCAGTAATGCAGATCATACTACACGTTTACAGAGCTGTGTGGAAACCAGTTTTTGCAAACAGATGCAAAGTTTGATATGATAAATATACTTTGCTTGTGTGCCCTTAAAAAGACGCCTCATTTCAACCTAAGAGTTTTTGTTCTCCATATGTTTTATTGTCATTTCAACAGTTTCTAGAAGCCTGAGAGGATAAATCATTTAGCAATTCACAGGAAAAACAAAAAAACACTTTCAGAGCGTAAGTAATGTGTCTTTTTTACTACACCAGTGCACATTCATCCTGCGACCACTTGTGGGACCTGCTGACGTTTTCTGACGCGACAAAACAACAGAATTATTTTGAAATTCAATTGTAGGGTCTTTTTTTTTTTCTTTTCACGTCAGAGCGTTTGCAAGGCTTTCAGTTTAACGTACTGATGAATGTGGTGTAGACGAGTCATTATAAACCACTGCCTCATCTCAAATTATTAATTTATCAATTACATACTGAAGAGAGGTGTCACATTAGATCAACATTTTATTTCTGTGGAAAACAAGTGCAGATTTGTTTCAGACAATGAAGACACTGTGGATTTCATTCCTGTCTCTGGCTTTGACATTATGACTGTACTATTAAATGTCAGCGAGGTTATAAACTTCCTCCTTATTGTTTTGTTTCTTTTAGTTCATCGTTTCTCTGTTAGGTACTTTAACATGTGATTTGACCATGGCAGTCAAAACGAAACCAGGTTTCAGTTTCCTGTTTTGTAAACACACAGAGTCTGGAAGTTTCTATGTGAACTGAAAAAAAATCCCCACTGTTTCATTTTAATGTGTGGATATAATTCCTTTAAAATGTTCATGGGAGCAAAAATAAAGAGGTGTATATAAATCTGAGAGACACAAATGATAAAGCATGTCAGACTGTACAGTTGGAACATCGTTTGAAAAATTTAGAATAAATTACATTGGAACTATTTCTTTTTCCCACTTCGTCACTGTCTCTGTCACTTTCACTTTCAATTTAAAACCTCAAAGATAGTTTGTTTTGCGGAGAGAGGAACTGCTCTGTGTTCGGGTCAGAAAAAAAAATTACAAGAAGTGGATATAAGCGGTAAGATCTTTACTGGAAATCGCAAAACAGGAGAAAAACTGAATCAACTACTTTGCATTCTTTAACGTTGGCATACCTGCTGCGTAACACGTGACGTCATGACGTAACACCAGGAAATGTTTGATAAGCGGCGTCAGGATCCCGGATCAGCTGAGACGTCAGTCACCGGCAGCACCAGTCAGGCGGAGAGCGCTGCTGCCAATATTTTATCTTCAAATACGGTATTTTTGGACACTTGGACCGTAAGTAAACTTATTTTTGTGTTAGCAAGGATTTCACATACTAACAGTACTTACTAAAAGAGTTGGCTAAAAGTTTTCATGTGTCGTTAAAAGTCCGCTTGAGTTGACAAAAGTTGCTTTTAACCGCTCAAACTGTGTTTAGTGCGCAAACAGGCAGCGTTCATTTCAGTTCAATGTTTATTTACAGCCGTTTCTGTTCTGTTACACCAACTAATAGAGTCCCGTGTTGCTCTGTTACACTTTAACAGTCGTAATAGACGTTTTTCAGCCACGCAGAGCAGCTAAACTGACTTTGAAGAGCTTTAAAGTCTGACTTTTGTTCCTTAAACATAGCAGCTCGTTAGCGTGCTGCTGTGGTTTTGCGGAAACAACTGGTTGTAATAAAGCGTGAGGTTGGAGATACACGTCTGGGCATAACCCGAGGCTGTCAGTGTTGTCCACCAGAGAGCGACACAATGAGGAAAAATAGAAGAAATCAACATTAAAAAAATTATTTATATATATAATGTTGAAATATACAATTACTTGTCAGGCTGGATACATGCAGAACAAAATGTGTTGGCACAGATAAAAACATGGTCAATATTCAGCTGGTCTCTCAAAATAAAATCTTTATTTCCTGATGTTTCCAGCCTGTCAGATGTAAGGGTCTGCCCTTTCTGGTTTTATATCATTTCAATTTAATGTTTTTTAATCCAAACTATTAATTGAATGATCAGTGAAAAAATCTAATCTACTTAAACTTAGGTGAGTTAAATAAACCTCAACATGAAACAATTGCCACCATTTTTTTTTTTTGAGTGAGTTCAGAGAAAATGGTCTGTAACTGATTAATGAAAAACGAAAATAGGAAATGGGAGGCAGAGAGGGAGAGGCCTGACACACCTGATGATCAGAGTGCAGGTGCAGGCAGGAAGCACTGAACCGTGAAGGAAGCCAGCCTGACAATGACTACCTCAGTGGTAGGACTGCACAAATACATGAACATGAATCACTGTAATGATTTTGGCTTTCCACCAATGAATGAACATGTTCAGCTGTAGTATTTACTCATAAAAATGTGCTCTCTCCTCGTGACAGTAAAACGCCCTATTGCGCTCTTTTCCAAGTCATTCTTAGTCACACACCTGTCTGAACACAGCAGTCTGCACTGTGAGGCGTTTGAGGAATCTAACTGTAACAAGATGTTCAGCACGGGATGTGTTTCGCCTGTCACCAGGAGGGAAGTGCAAGCAAATATAAAAGTTGGTGGCACCAGTGATTCCAGTAAAAAAGAAAGTCTGGAGCCCTGCAGAGTATGAATGTATGTCTGACAGATATGTTTTACACACAAAACATGTATATGTACTATACAGCTGTCAATATGGTCAAATATGGATTCTCAGTCATCCAGGTCATGGTTATTCTTGTAGATTAATCGTAGCAACTGGACTTGCTTGAGTTCCTTGAAGACATTTCACCTCTCATCCAAGAGGCTTCATCAGGTCTGACTGGCTAGAGGGGAGTTCCAGATACTTGCATCCTTAAGGAGCCATTAACACCTGAGTTTTGGTTTCAGTTGGGAGGGGTTGTTAGGGTCTTTTGTGTCTAGGTGTGAATGTGGTTTCATCTTCCTGGGAAGAGTTCTTAAGACTGAATTGTAAACAGGTGAGAGGTGATGCCTCAGACCTCCACCTCTGTTGAGGGATGGTCTTTCCAGTTTGACATAGATGGCTTCTTTCACTCCTCTCTCAAACCATCTGTCCTCTCTGGCCAACATCAGCACGTTGTTGTCTTCAAATGAGTGTCCTTTGTCCTTAGTTGTCTAGTCTTTAGTCTTTAGTTGTCTAGTTTTGTCCAATGGAAAAAAACACATCTACAGATAGTTGGTGTATGATTTTATTGTCTTGTCTTTCTTGTCTATCTATAGGAATGCATACATTGTACAGAAAATATCAAATAACAGCAAAAAATCCTGATTGTTTATTCTAAAGTTGAAATAAAGAAACAACACTGAAGCATTTGACAACAAATAATGCCACTTCTGAGAGCTGGTGGCAAACACACATCGACTCTGACCACATGTTGAACCCATTTGTCATGATGTTTGGCTTACTGTACCTTTACTTTAATCATTATGATCATTTTTACTTGTTCGACAGTGAACCAGTATGGCGAACGGACACGTGGAGATCCACGACCTCTTCTCCAACCACCACGGCGGCACCAGCCCCACAGACTGTGACCTTAAATCTACCTCAGACCCTGGCAGCATGGACGGTACAGCGGAGTTCAGACTCATGATGGCCTACGCAAAGAGGAGACGGCCACAGCAGGAGGAGGACTCACATGTGCAGGACAATGGTAGTACAGATGCAAACGGAACAACTCCATCTCAGACACCAGTCCAGACTGAAACAGAGGTGAAGACGAAAAAGAAGAAAAAGAAGGGATGGAAGCGTCTGTCGAGCATTTTAAAATGTGTCAAGCCTCAGACAGACGACAAAGAACCTCAGCAAACGCCTCCTTCCAACGCTACCAACAGGTGTATGGATCCTCCAGCTGATGAGTCACTGATGATAGACTCCATTGAACCTGGTATGTATCATAACAGTAAGACTCCAACAAAATATTATTTTTATTATACGTTAATATGAACCATCGTTTTGTCTTTGAATGTCAGAAAACAGCGAACATTTGCTTTTAGGGTTTCCTCCAGTCCAACAGTGACTCGTTCTGATGTTTTGTTTAATCTGACCATTTGTTCCCACTTGTTTTAGCAGCTCAGTAGGAATAGAAAAGGAGGAAAAGGACGACTTTATTGATCTTGGAGGAAGAGCCACATTTACATAGGAGTCATTTTTGTATTTCTACACATAGACCAAATTGATCAGATGCTTCCAGCTTCTCAAATATATAACTGATGGGTTTTTTTGTCATACATGATGTTAAGTGAATGGATTTTTAGGGTTGGACAGGTGGTTCTAACAGGCTCAACAGATCATTTAATAATCAGTCGGACTAGGTTTTTAAAGAAATTATTCAAAATATTGACTCCACTATCAAAATAGATCTGTTGATCTGTAATTTATAAACTAGCTCTATTCATATATATGCGATTTATATAATATACACACCTGGTTGAACAGACGGGACGTGTTGTGAATCACTTTTCATGACACATTTTCCATTATTTCCCAGTAAGCCCTGAAAACTAGCTGAGTCACTTTCTGCTGGCAGAGATGTTTCTGGTGTTCCTGTCTCGTGTCGACACAGTCATGTGACTATTTTCTCTGTTTGATCCTAAATACAGGCTCGTTGCCCTCTGAAGCCCTTTTGCTCTCTCAGTCTTTTGTTTGTGTTTCTTGTTTTTTTCCAGCTGAGGTTAAAAAGAAGGATCAGTTGGAGGAGGCAGTGAGCAGACTAACGGAGATCGCTGATGAAATCCCGTTCACGCCCCCAGAACTGGAGACGGACTCGGAAGAGGGTGAGTTTTGCTCCTGCAGAGAAAGCAAAAATATTTCTGAGAAGATAAATATGTATTTTCTTGTAAACCTCTCACTTGTTCGTACAAGTGTTTCAGGTTTGTTTGTCAATCAGCGGTTCAGCCTGATGAATACATCCAGTTTGCTCCAACACATAGCTGCAGCAGAGATGTAAAAACTCATTTATACTTTTATACTTCTGATGTCTCGGGCAGATTAGATAACTATTCAAGTAATGCATCTAAGAAGTCATCGAGACAGACTGAAATCTGATTGTGAAAACCATTTCCAGGAAGCTCATTCCATCTCCAGCTCTGTGAGACACGAGCAGAGTCTTTGCTCCTCACATGGTTCTTACAGCGTCTGTGGAAACGTCCACTTACCTTCTGATTTCCATAATACATCCACAGTCTGTCCTGCTGATGACAGCTGAAATGAAAGTGAAATTCACCAGAGGTGAATCACTAAAGCGATTCAGAACAAGCTATTTCCACACCAAGTGATTGATTTATTTGATTGCTGATCAATTCAATCAATCAATGATCTGTGTCAATGAGAAAGCAGCATGAGTGAGAGCTCGTGAAGATGAATTTCTCTCTCCTGATCTGTAAAACGTGTTCATTTAAGTTTATGGATTCTTAGAAGCTCCTAAACTATAATTGTTGTGATTAAACTGCTGAAGTGCAGAAGTTCTTCTTTTAGATTACAGTGCAGAAACTAAACAGCTTCAGATGCATCATCTCCTGAATACATGCAGTTAATGTAAATAAAAGTGTGTGACATCAGCATAGTTTGGCTTCTTATACAGATATATATTAAGTATTTCATGTACTGCTGCTTGTAGAGTACACTGTGGATTGTCAAACCTTTGCTCTGTTTCTGTAAACCTGTTAATTAGTTTTCTAGTATTTTGGAAGCGACTGATTAGGGGTTTGTAGTCAAAGTCATTTCAAGTCATTTTTGGTGAAATTACAACCAAAGACTGTATTTTTATCAGGAAACATGGATCCATCCATATACATTTTGCACTTTTTTCCATTTTGAGGGACCATTAATTTAAAAGGATGTCCTCTGTTGGATCCATTGGGTCGTTCTGATCCGGCAGAGGCTGTTCTGTCTGGGTCCTCACCACTTTTCATGTCTGTTGGAGTTTTGTTTCTGAAGATGTTGAACCTTGAAAATTACTTTCCAGCTACGAGGATTATTTTTTTGAGGGTGAAAATGCCAAAAAAATATCTGAAATTCTCCAAAATTCTGACTAAATATTCAACAGAGCTTAGTTTTGATGAGACAGTGGAGTCTGATGTGTCTGCGAGGGATGTGGAAAAACAGAAGATATGACAGATAAAAGGAATATTATCCAGATAAAATGTACTGAAGGGAAACCAGACTGGAGTTATGGACCAACTTGAACCGTAGCTTTCTTAATCAGTTTGTTTTTAAACTGTGTTGACTTACTTATAACTTCTGCATTTCATTTGGACAGACACTTTGCTTTGGGTCCAACATTCTCCACGTGTTCTTTACATTTAGCTTCCCATAGAACTGGCTGTAACCTTTTTTCACTCCTCCAGGCAGAATGTCGTCGCCTGTTTCCCCAAACGATCAGCGCATCCAGTGTTCATGTCCACGGCGCCGACTTTTGTCTTTGAATGTTCATCTGTCAGAAAGAAAGTGACTCATGAATCATATGATGTGTTTCTAGGTGAAGTGGAGAAGATGATCGGTCTGCTGCTGAGGGAAACAGGAGACAAATGGAACGAGAAGGTACAAAACAACTTATCTTATCTGTGGAGCATGTGTGTGTAACATGTTACGGGAAATTCTTTAGGGATTTATGACAAGAGAGTGGAAGTTATTACCAGGTCATACTATGTACCTGGCAGGTCGAGAGTTCACTGATCAGTGCATTTTTACTGCTTGTTATTCAACACTGATAAGAATGTGAAAGAAACGTCCACCAGTGATCAGACGTTTCTCCGATTTCCGCCACAGTCCTGCTGTATAACATTCTGTTTTTTTTCTGAGCCCATTTAACAGAAAGATTTCGAATGCATTTCCCCAGATGTTCAGCAGTAAAGACCACTTTATAAAACACTGAACACAACATGTTTCTTGTCTCCACCAGGAGCTGAAGGATGCCAATATCGCAGCAGAGTTATTCTGGGACTACAGTTTCTTTAAGAATCTAATAAATGCCCTGCTCATGAGGATGGGCCTCAGGAGCGCCGACCCCGACGCTCTGGGGCCACAAGCATCGCCCAAAACCCAGATCGCCGTGACCTGTGAGGTGAGAACAACTTGTGTGTGTTGTCCTTAATAAACAACGTTAAATTCTTGTTTTAAACCACAAAAAAAAGTTATGTGTCTGATCAGCAGTGCCCTAAACTATCCTAACTCTATACAAAGTAATGATAGGAGAAGTAATCACAGTGGTAACTTAAGTAAGAAATTACAAGTAAAAGTCAGTGAAACTCACTAGAAATGCTCAGAGTGTTTCCTCTCAGAGTGTCCCGGCTACGATTCTGCTGCCTGGTGAATCACTGTCCTTCAAACATGCTTGTTTGTTAACTGCTGAACATGTTTCCATCCTCCGTCAGGTCACCACTCGTCTCACAGCAGTGAACACGTTGCCCACAAACCGCCTGCTGAGCCACGGAGCCAGATACCTGCAGGACTATTACTCGACCTGGGCGCAGCAGCAGGGAGGATATGTATGTAAAACACTCGTCTCCTTCTTCAGACAATTAGTTTGACCTGTACATAGAATAGACTGGAAATACTTTATTAATCTCCAAGGGGAAGTGTGGTTGTTGCAGCACATAGATAAAAGTACCACCTCCATGAATACCGATAAACCTTTTTACATAACTTAAATATTGTCACTTTCAGGAGGCAGCCTTCGAGGGTGATGAGGATGAAGTGGAGTGAACATCTTGATGAGGTTTTCCAGTTTCACAGCAGCACCTGCAGCCCGTCTGAGAAACCACAGTGGAGGAGCTGCCAGCATTAAGAGTCCTTCAGGGAGACTTCACTGTGACACTTTAACCTCTCAGCAGTGTGTCTGAATGCTCTGAAAGGAGAGCACCAAACAGGAGTTCTGTGTTTTTATTCTGCCAAATCAGTTTGCAAACACATCTGGAGCTTTAGGATTAGAAATCAAACAATCATGTTTGGTTTTTTTCTTGCAAATAATTCTGTTGTTCAGGTATTTTTGTGTACTTACAGGAGCAATGAGTCAAAGCAGAAATTGTTTTTTTGTACCGTTTGTGTGTTTTGCCATTAATGAAAAACTATCAGAACATAGCCCTGTGTTTTATGTGGACTGTGGCATTATTTGTTTTGTAGTTTGAAAGAACAAAAAAAAAAAGTACTGTTCAGCACTTGCACTTTATATGAAGATAATGAAAAGCGCCAAATTGCGAATGTGTAATAGATCTGGTGTTATTTGTGTTATTAACAACTGTTTGGTTTTTCTAAGGGACCACTGTATGTACTGTCTGAAATGGTTATTTGCTACATGTAATGAAAATATGGACCAAAAACCAACACTTTTTTTATTACGTGTACTGTTTATACAATAATAGTGTGTCAGTAATAAATTATACACCATTTTTATTACAATACATGTTGCCAATGTTCAAATAAAGTGCAGAGCTCTGAAGGGAAATTTGGAGTGAGTGTATAAAAAGTGACCTAAATGCTACTTTAGATTCTGGTTTTCCTTTTTCTACTGAAGTCTGATCTATGAGAAGGTGCTCATGTGTAAACACCACCACCGTGTGGCCACACGAGGAACTGCAAGGTACAACAGTGATTCAAACGAACCCAATTCAAAGTATGGTAGATTTTTAAGTATTCCTCTTTCAATTAATATACAACAATGTTTTACTGTCGGGACACGTTGTTATATCTATTCAAATAAATTCGGCATATAGTAAATGAATCCAAGCATTTGAGATTTGCTTTAAACTGTAGAGAGAACACCTTAAACAGAGGACGCAACAGGTGACACCAACATAGAAGTTGTACTTTTTTTTTTTAATTGATTTTTTTTTAAGCAACGTGCTTTCAAACGAGTTAAAAAGGTGAAACCGTTGAATTTGATGAATGAGTTTAAATTAGTTTGGGAACTGTATCTCATTGAGGGAGTCTGGAGCGCAGTTGTTCCTGGAGCGCGTCGCGCTGCTCCGCTGGTTGAAATGAGATCCAACCCGTTCTGCCGCACAGCTCGGACTGCCTCAACCTGCTCCCCGACACCCAGCCGGAGGACGGCACCACTCACCAGTCGGGCATCAGCTGCTCGCAGAGACGTCACACCTGTGGCTGCTCAGCGCACCTCGGCTCGTTACGCAGCGGACTATGAAGATCGTGCGTAATGTTTAACGTCGTGCACCAGGGTCGGAAATACGCCCCCACGCGCTCCTCGGTTACGGACGACTCTCCGTTAACGGTTCAGGCGCTTCATATCATCAGATCTCCCGGTACACTCAACGAGGCACCGGAGGCGACGTGGCCGCCGCCGGGCGCCAAGATGCGGATCTCCAAAGGCGCGGTGGTGGTGAGAGCTGTCCGGCGACTCCCGTCTCCTCAGCCGCCCAGCCTGGAGAGCCTGGAGGCGGCGTGGAGCGAGAGAGGGCAGCCGGAGGCGAAGCCCCGGAGCCCGGAGAGGATAAACGCTGCAGCGGAGGGACACGGAGGAGGAGGAGGAGGAGGAGGACCACCCCGGAGCAGGAGGAAGGGCTTCAGACCCCCCGATGTGAGGACTATCTTCTCCCCCGGAGAGAAGGACCCCAGGGTGCAGGAGGAGTCCGGGGAGGGACACAGCTTCCAGGCCGGAGGAGAGAACACCTGGTGTGATGTGTGCTGCTACTACATCTTCCAGCATGGACTCACCTGTGAAGGTGAGCTGCTGGTGGCGGGAGGAGGGTGGGCTGGGTGCAGGGGTGGTCGAACCTCTTCACAAGAAGGATTCACACATTTTAAACTCATGTGGGAGGCAGAGCACTGTGAGTCTGTTGTCAAGATAAACATGGATTTAGTGGTGAGATTAGATTCAAATTTACCATCAAGTATATTTAAAGTTGAAAATTGTATAGAAAAAAAAAATACTTGACAAAAATGAGAATTTTCATTTCTAGAATTTCCCACAGACAGACGGTGAAATTCTGGTAAATCACACAATAAATCTCTAATCAATAATTATTTAATCAGAGGAGTGTAATGAGAGGAAATCAAATGGACATGTTGGCCGTGTAATATTTGAGCCAATGATGAAAAAAACAACAGAGTTACATTAAAACGAGAGTAATTCACTGTTATTTAGACTATAAACCAGACCCATAGACAGAATGAAGGGATGATGCCATTTTGTTGCTGCAAAAATGAAAATTAGACGTGAAGTGAAATCACAAAAATATGTTTAACTTGTAGAGATTTTTCCAACATATACAGTTTTTGTGTTGCACAGTTTGGTTGTTTTTTACAACAAACCTTGGTAGAGATCAACCCTCCCTGACTGCTTTTATTTATTAACTCACCTTTTGAGCTCAGAAGTTTGTTTAGTGCTCAAACAATCAGGCGATTAAACGATTAATAAATAGACAGAAAATCCTTCTCACAGGTTTGTGAGCAAAAATCAAGCAAAAATATTAAACTTCTAAGAAAGGATTAACTTCATTCCCATTTTTTCTTTGTTTTTGGACTGAACCAAACAAGAATGTGGGTGATATTTTTTTGACATTTTATTGATTGAATGACTCTTTATAGCAGTGGACATGTATACAGGCTGGTATAAGTGACATCAAGATGTAGCTTTCATACCAAATACTCACTATTCAGACGTTTTATCGCAGTATAATAAGATTTTTTTTGGCTTTATAGGGTTAAAAATGAACCAGTTGTTTCCATCCTGAATTTTACGACAATCATTTTTACAGTTATTATCAATGTGGCACCAACATTTTTAGGTAACATTGTTTGACATGTGGTAAAGGCCGAATGTTAAAACACTGTTGACGACATTAGCAGGCAGGGCCGTGATGCAGCTACGCAACTGGAATGCAGTCGGTATGCAGACGGACCGGTTCTGGTCTAAAAGAAAAGGAGCCTGAGTGACTCCTCAGACTGCAGACCTCCCTCTGTGTCCACTTGTGTCTCCCAAACAATAGAAATAGGAAACTGAGGAAAAAGCCTCTAATGCTTGTCTTTGTTTGTGCTTTGATGGAGATGACATGCAGAAGGTTCTGAACATCCAAACATCTTGTGTTTTGACCCTTATTCAGTGTCATCTCTTGTTGTTGCTCCCACTAACCCAGTTTATTCTCTTCATTCTAACGTGTACCTTTAAATGTGACTCAGATATTTAATGCTGTGAAAGAACAAAGGAACAGTTTGGCTTTTGGCGTCTTAACAAACCAGCTTTTAAAAAGACATCCATCTTGCTATTAAAATGTAATCATCCGTCACACTATTTATGTAATACATGCAGCACATGTGACCCGGCGGTGTGGTGCTGGTAGCTTCAGGGATCAACCTGATCTTTAAATAGAGACAAAGAAGAGAAAACGAAATCTTGCTCAAACAAATGAAAATAGCATTATTTTTTAAAAACACAACCTCAGTTCATTAAACTTTGCCTTTTTGGAGCTACAGCCTCACTCGGTTGATTTATGACTGTTAGCTAAAACATGCTAATATTAGCTAGCATCAGCAAACTGGCAAATTGATATAATGAATAAAAAACTGTATTTCTTATCATAGTTGCCCATCTGTGTGTCTGTGAACAGTCTCTAGCTGGAGTTCTAAGCTCTAACAAGTTGATGTTTTCCAGGTGAGCTAGGAATGACCTCTACTCAGAATGATTTGATTTTTTGGGTCAATCAGTGCGACAGCAGCTCCACTAGAGGTCAAAGATCACCTTTTCAAAAATGTTGCATACCTGTAAAAGCCTAGAAGGTAGATTTATGGCATTTGGTGCAGCTAAGCAACAATGTAGGGACTTACTATTGGTGGGGTTGCATTTGACCTTGGGTAATAGTTCAAGGTCATACATATTGACTGAACTGTAACTTGGAAGCAGTGCAAGATAGACACACTGTTTACATTAGAAACCATGTATAGGCTTCCCACTGGGGTGTTAACATCTGACCTGATATTTCAAGGTCAAGCTCAAAGTCTAAAAATGTTTGATATTGCCATTTATTTTAAGTAACATATCATGTATACATGGATAGCACCCATTCCATCTTGGACCACCAAACAGCCACGACTGGTGAAAGAAAACCCATAGAAGAATGGCTTACAGGGGTTCAGTGCAATCATGGCCGGCAGGGGCAAATACATCCCTCTACTGAGGACCCTCTAGTATAAATTTAAAGTTAATTTCATAAATGACAAAACACACCCTCGCTCGGGTCAGTAAACTAAACATGTGATGAACCACTGAGAGTGATGGACTGACCTCCAGAGTCCAGAGCTGAGTCATATAGAAGCTGTATGGGATCATCTGGACAGACACATGAGTAAAAGACAACCAAAGTGCTGAAGGAAGATTTCCGTAATGTACCACAAGATTACTTCAGAAAACTCGAGACCAAAGAGAGTTCAACATGTGCACAGTTCAGACTGAGGTCACACCAGATACTGATTTTTATTATTGAAACCAAAATTCTAAGTGCTGCTGAATAAAAAGCCCAAACAAGGCAGATACATGCTGCCTTCCTGCTCTGCCTTCATCCATTTATCCCTCTAACTTCATTAGGCCTGCAGACAATGAGCCTGCTCAGTGAGCTCTGTGCTTCCCGTCAGCTTCACTGCTGATGGAGTTTGTTTGTGTGAGTGCATGTTTATGTTTATGTGTGTGTGTGTGTTCACAACAACAACACTCAGGCTGATATCTCTGCTAAGTTAAAAAGCCTTTTTGCAGCTGATTGCCCTTCAGGAAGCCTGTTAAAGGCCAATGCTCCACCCAAAGTCCACAGAAAGGCTGACCTTCCTCAGAAGGTCAAAATGGGAGAGAACATACTTCTCTGCCCTGAAGGTTTTCACAGACTGTTAATATCTGCATCAGTCACTAGTTCACTTATTAACTCACATAAACAGTCACTTATAAGCCAACTGAGCAGCAGCAGCAGCAGTTTTTGTTCAGGTGTTTCCTTTAAAAATTAATTTCTCATGCAGTGCAGGTTGCTGAATGCTGAAAGTGTCCAGAGTACACGATCACATGTTCATGTTGTAGCTTTTACTGGGTTTAAAAGATTCTGAATTTGTCGACGCCAAACTGTCATACAGAAGATTCTGATGACATAAGTGTAGTTATTATAGCTTCCAAGCACGATACATTAGTGGAGGTCTTGCATGTTTTCTGTTTTCGGTATGTTTGGTTCCAGATTACATGTTTGTTTGCATGAAAGGTCCAAGAATGTAAAACGACAGGCTTTTCAAATAGCGTTGCCTGTTTTTTCTCTTTTCTTTGCTCATGTAGAAGTCAGTGGTTTGAAGATTATGTCCAGATTAGATGTATTTATAGCCTGCAGTAGATTTCTGAGCTCTGGTTGCATTTAGACTTTACATTAATTTATTAATGAAAGATGACATCAGCACGACATCGACCCGAAAAGAACAACAACAGGCAGATAAGATGAAAACCTTAAGAAGTACACATGATGTGTTTTACATGTAAGTTGAAGTAGTTTTAAGTGAATGTGTGCATTTAAAAAGCTTTATATTTTTGTCTGCATCTGCCAGTGAGCCATCAGGGTAAGAGCAGGAATAACAACATGTTAAT